TCGTCACCAGGATGGCGGCGCGCGGAGGAACCAGAAAAACGGCGCCAACATGGTATCCCGAGGTCGACGTGGTGCATCAGATGCAGTCGTCAGCACGAGGTGGACTTGGTGTGTGCGCTGTGCAGGTGACGAAGCAGTGCACGCCAATCATCTACGAGCACCTGCGAAGCGGGTGCGATGCTGGACTGCAGGAGCAACGCTGGCACGCCGTCGACTTGCGCTGTTGTCACGCCGTCGACCTGCAGCGTTGGCAAGCCGCGTCTCTGCACTGCTGGAGCGCGGTCGACCAAGTCGTGCTGGCACGCGGTCAACCGTGCTGCGCTGGCAGTCGACCTGCTTGCATCCTAGCTCTGATGTAGTCTTTCCTAGCCAACTTCATTGTATCATTGTTGTCAACTTTCTCTAGTGAAACTCTTGCCAAATTGCCTTGTGAACTAGCAAGCAGTGTGTGCACTAGGAAAACGACTAAGGAACGAGGAACGCAGAGATCACACGAGCACCCGTGCCTAGCCCGCAGCCTAGCTCCCGTTGTAGTAGTTATCTCTGCAAATTCAATGTTTTGAAACCGATCAGTTCCAGCTACATGGCGCGGCAGCAAATCATCGACATAAATAGTACAGCAGCGTAACACAGTACACGCAGCAGATGGAGAGCCTCTTCAACCGAATTACCGACCTGACCGAAGGGGAAAAAAACATCCGCGTATACTGAGGGGCTAAAGATGGAAGTCCGCCGACAGGTGATCGCTGCGAACTACAGTAGCTACCGCGACATGGTGTGTGCAGCAGAGAGATTCGATGCGCTGACGCGAGGTCCATAACCTGTGACACGACGCCACGTGCCGAACAGATCATTCGACACGAAGCGATCGACACCACTTACTGCCACCGACCCGATGGATATCGACAAGATCGACGCGAAGCAGCAGCCGACAAAATGCGTACGAGAAATGCTAATCTTGCGGCGCAGCAGGGCATCAACTCTTGCAGTATTGGAAAATGAAGAAGGCACGAGCAGAGCTATAGGGCAAACAACTGTGGAGCATCCCCCGAAGTAAAATAACGAGCATTGCCGGGTAGCTGCGATTGACCTGGCGATCCCGAAAAGATCCGAAAAATGCATAAAGGCGACAATGTGGCGACTTCGGCGCGCGAAAAAATGAGTACATAATGGCGCGAATTTAAATCGTCATGACCGGCCGGCAACAGGGGAAATTGCCTAGACAAACGGGGAGTCCGCCAAACAAGACTTTGCACCGACCGGGAAACTCCAGCCGAACACCCACGAAAGTAAGAATTCGTTACAGATATCCTATAAAGATACTTTAACTAAGAATATTACTTCTCGTGATTTTCAAGCCTTTGATAAATTCAGGAAAGGTTTAGAGGCTAAGAAGAAGCACATAGAGATTACTCGGAGCAGATGCAAGCCACTACTTCTCGAGGTGATAGGCAAACGCGCGACGCCTCCAGGCACTGAAGGACGCGGTGCGTCCCACTCGATGTGTGACCGTGGGACGTTGGAGAAAGTTGGAAAGAAGGCTGAGGAGGACTCAATCTTCAGCAACGATGGTGGACGGTACGAAGCTTTCCATCCACGGCGAGTCAACACTGCAGCTGCATATCGGTGCGTTGAGGTGGAAGCCGAAGCTACCAGTCACCAATATCAACGGACTAGATTTCATCTTGGGGCGAGATTGACTGGGTCAATCGGAAGGTGTGCATCTAGAACAACGGGAAACGTGTGGAGCTGCGAAGCTGGACGGATACAGGGGACGTTCCTGAAACGACACTGGCACGGTTCGAACGGACGGTGAACGAGAGTAACACGGGTTACTTAGCACAATAATATAATGCTAGACAACCTACCCGCATGAGTACCTCTACACGCACCCAAGACACGGATCGTGGAGGAACCAGGTGCGAAACCTGTCTCACGTGCACATACTGACTGAGTCCGACAAAACTGACAGACATGAAGAAGCAGATAGAGTATTTACTGGAAAGACAACTGTGTTGGGTGCAAATGCACATTGCACGACATCCTGCCGTCTGTTTGTACGAGTATGCGTGTGCGAATGCATTTGCGTGTGAATGGTGTGTTCGTGTGTTTGTTTGCTTTCGCATTTTTTGCTTGATGCATTTGCAGGTACTCGCGCAATGTGCGCTTTGGCACAACATTGTATGCGCTATGAACAGTGCAAGCAGAAAGGACGAGCTCGCAAAGGAACCCAAGATGGAAGCTTTGCAGTTCGGTTGAGTTGATTGCGCAGATTCAGTTCTATCCAACTCGGAATTGTACTGTTTTGTTTGGTTAACTATAGTGTAGCAAGGAAGGCACTATAGGGGTACAATTTAGGTGAAGGTTGGATGTTGTTTTTCTGTATCTGCATGCTACAAGGCCAGGGGAAACCAGCGGAACCAGCATTTGGCTGGTTGGGCAAAGACAAAACAGATTCTTTTTTTAGAACCTGAACCTGGTTGTTGTTTTCCCAGGTTGGAAAAACAGAACCAGAGGTTGTTTACCAACCTACCACCTGCTATTTTGTCCAGCCAGGTTGTTTCTGTTGCTTGGAATTATTTGGGATCATCCATGGTTGTTCCCAGGTTGATTCCCAAGGTCCTTGCTAGCTAGAACTATTTAATCCTTCTCTGTTTGTACCTGAATATAGTCAAATTGATTCAAGCGAATTCCTTCCTCGCTGGAATTTCGTTTCTGCGCTATTCGACGGCGGAATGCTACCCGAGTCAACGCTAGTATGCTAGCACTCCAACGCTAGGCAAACGCTGTCCGAGCCATAACTTAGTAATGGCAGAACTTTTCGCGAGGCAACTTGGCTCATTTTAAAGCTCTTGGAACGAGCTTCGATATAGCGAATTCTCAGCTTAATCCGATCGACGGTCTGCACGGCACGCTGCGCGACGTTCAAGGTACTCTTGTTGTTTTGACTAAGTCCTTCTTGATCCCTCTCTCTACAAACTCGGACCCGAGGATAGGGGCTGGTCTTGTACCAGGCACCCAGGAACTCTCACCCAGCATTGGAGTTCCAATACTCCGCATCTGCACAGGTGAAGCAGAAAGGGGTGGAGGTGCTGAAAGAGAAGGGGGAGAGGCTTGGAGAAGGCAAGCTATTTCTCACTTGCTTTACCGATGCTACATGGGCTTCTGAGAAGGAGGATTCCTCATCTGTGGGAGGATACATCTGCGTAGTTGGGGGAGGACCTGTTAGTTGGAGGTCCAAGAAGCAGACGGAGACGGCACTCTCTTCCGTAGAATCAGAGTACATGGCGATGTTCCATGGGGTGAAGGAGGTGATTTGGCTGAGGAGGCTGTTAGAGGAGATTGGCCAGGAGCAGAAAGTTGCTACGCCGCTGTTTTGTGATAGCAAGGGGGCTCTTGGGATGGCCAGGAACGCTGTGCTTCATGGCCTGAACAAGCACATGCGTATCAAGTGGCACTGGCTGCGTAAGGAGGTGAAGAGGGGGACGGTGAATCCAATCTACATCAAGACTCACCAGCAGCCAGCAGACTTTCTCACCAAGAGGCTTGCGGATGAGCCTCATTGGCGTTGTGTGCGCATGAGTGGAATGAGCATGAACTAGCATGGAATGATGGGGATGCAGCCGGCAGGCTGAGGGGAAGTGTGTTGGGTGCAAATTCACATTGCACGACATCCTGCCGTCTGTTTGTACGAGTATGCGTGTGCGAATGCATTTGGGTGTGAATGGAATGTTCGTGTGTTTGTTTGTTTTCGCTATTTTCGCAATTTTCGCTTGATGCATTTGCAGGTACTCGCGCAATGTGCGCTTCGGCACAACATTGTACGCGCTATGAACAGCCCGTCTGTTTTGTACGAGTATGCGTGTGCGAATGCATTTGCGTGTGAATGGTGTGTTCGTGTGTTTGTTTTCTTTCGCATTTTTCGCTTGATCCATTTGCAGGTACTCGCGCAATGTGCGCTTTGGCACAACATTGTATGCGCTATGAACAGTGCAAGCAGGAAGGACGAGCTCGCAAAGGAACCCAAGATGGAAGCTTTGCAGTTCGGTTGAGTTGATTGCGCAGATTCAGTTCTATCCAACTCGGAATTGTACTGTTTTGTTTGGTTAACTATAGTGTAGCAGGGAAGGCACTATAGGGGTACAATTTAGGTGAAGGTTGGATGTTGTTTGTCTGTATCTGCATGCTACAAGGCCAGGGGAAACCAGCGGAACCAGCATTTGGCTGGTTGGGCAAAGACAAAACAGGTTCTGTTTTAGAACCTGAACCTGGTTGTTGTTTTCCCAGGTTGGAAAAACAGAACCAGAGGTTGTTTACCAACCTACCACCTGCTATTTTGTCCAGCCAGGTTGGTTCTGTTGCTTGGAATTATTTGGGATCATCCCTGGTTGTTCCCAGGTTGATTCCCAAGGTCCTTGCTAGCTAGAACTATTTAATCCTTCTCTGTTTGTACCTGAATATAGTCAAAATTGATTCAAGCGAATTCCTTCCTCGCTGGAATTTCGTTTCTGCGCTATTCGACGGCGGAATGCTACCGAGTCAACGCTAGTATGCTAGCACTCCAACGCTAGGCAAACGCTGTCCGAGCCATAACTTAGTAATGGCAGAACTTTTCGCGAGGCAACTTGGCTCATTTTAAAGCTCTTGGAGCGAGCTTCGATATAGCGAATTCTCAGCTTAATCCGATCGACGGTCTGCACGGCACGCTGCGCGACGTTCAAGGTACTCTTGCTGTTTTGACTAAGTCCTTCTTGATCCCTCTCTCTACAAACTCGGACCAGAGGATAGGGGCTGGTCTTGTACCAGGCACCCAGGGACCCTTGGAGGTGACCCCGAGAGAGGGTTTTAAGTTTGGTTAAGTCCTAATAGCTTGAGTTTATTAGGCCCTTACACCAACAGTTGGCGCCGTTTTTCCCGAGGATAGGGGCTTCCTCCCAGCGCGGAGGTGCCATCCCCGAGGAGAGGTTTTAAGTTTGATTATGTCCTAATAGCTTGAGTTCTTAGGCCCTTAACCAACGTTGGGCCGTTTTTCCATTCCTCCGCGCGCCGCCATCGGGTTTCTTATAGCACAAAAACCAGGGGTGCCCTTCCTTCTCACAATACCAGCAACTCCCTTTCATTTTGCCACCAGCACCCGACTTGCCCCCACGTCCAGATTTCGCACCGCGACCCCAACCGGTACCTCCTTGTTGGTCGTTGGAGTCGTCGTCTTTCTTTGCACCGCGTCCAGCACCACCGAAGCCACGTCCTCTGCCACGTCGGCTCCCTTGCATCCCGTAGCCGCTGCTGCCGTCGTCTCCACCCCTCAGTTGGCGGCGACGGAAGTCCTCCTCCAGAATCTTCGTCCGCACCCACTCGAGCGTCCACAAGCTCTGGTTCTGCGGCAGGCTCAATCCGCTCGTAAATTGAAGCCACAATTCCGGCAGCAGCGAGAGCATCTTCAAGCACTTGGTCTGCTCCGGGTAGGTGATTCCCGCGGTCGCCAACTTCGCGTAGAGGTCGCGCATCTTGTCCAGGACTGGTTGCACCGGCTCTCCCTCGCTCAGGCGCAACGCGGACAGCTCCCTCTCCAGCATCAACGTTGCGACAACGGAGGTCGGGGCGTGCAGCTCCTTCAACACGGTCCACGCCTTCGGACCGCATTCAACCTCCGGCAGCAGGTGCATGACGTGGTGACGCTGGTTCAGCTCCAAACTCTGCGACATCAAATAGTAGCCAGCCGAGGAGCGCTCGTCCCAATCTTCCTGCAGCGTGGGGTCACTCGGTCTAGGCTCCTCCCCAATCATTAGTTTCAGCAAACCGATCTGACGGAAATATAATTGCATTTTCCAGGCCCAATCATCATAGCCCTCACCATTGAACTTCTCGACGGTGAAATTCTTCAGCACCTCCTTGACAAGCGAGCCCTGGTTTGTTCGCGCTCCCCGTGGCGCTGAAAGACCAGAATCTTGGCTGCCGCTACGATCTTGGGCTGAAGATTCACCAGCTCCCGCCGAGGTGTTGCCCGCCATAGCTACCTATAACGAGGATCACTATAACGCAGCTCTGATACCAGCTTGTTTGTGTAAGGGCCTAATAAACTCAAGCTATTAGGACTTAATCAAACTTAAAACCTCTCCTCGGGGTCACCTCCAAGGGTCCCTGGGTGCCTGGTACAAGACCAGCCCCTATCCTCGGGTCCGAGTTTGTAGAGAGAGGGATCAAGAAGGACTTAGTCAAAACAGCAAGAGTACCTTGAACGTCGCGCAGCGTGCCATGCAGACCGTCGGTCGGATTAAGCTGAGAATTCGCTATATCGAAGCTCGCTCCAAGAGCTTTAAAATGAGCCAAGTTGCCTCGCGAAAAGTTTTGCCATTACTAAGTTATGGCTCGGACAGCGTTTGCCTAGCGTTGGAGTGCTAGCATACTAGCGTTGACTCGGGTAGTATTCCGCCGTCGAATAGCGCAGAAACGAAATTCCAGCGAGGAAGGAATTCGCTTGAATCAATTTGACTATATTCAGGTACAAACAGAGAAGGATTAAATAGTTCTAGCTAGCAAGGACCTTGGGAATCAACCTGGGAACAACCAGGGATGATCCCAAATAATTCCAAGCAACAGAACCAACCTGGCTGGACAAAATAGCAGGTGGTAGGTTGGTAAAAAACCTCTGGTTCTGTTTTTTCCAACCTGGGAAAACAACAACCAGGTTCAGGTTCTAAAAACAGAACCTGTTTTGTCTTTGCCCAACCAGCCAAATGCTGGTTCCGCTGGTTTCCCCTGGCCTTGTAGCATGCAGATACAGACAAACAACATCCAACCTTCACCTAAATTGTACCCCTATAGTGCCTTCCCTGCTACACTATAGTTAACCAAACAAAACAGTACAATTCCGAGTTGGATAGAACTGAATCTGCACAATCAACTCAACCGAACTGCAAAGCTTCCATCTTGGGTTCCTTTGCGAGCTCGTCCTTTCTGCTTGCACTATTCATAGCGCGTACAATGTTGTGCCGAAGCGCACATTGCGCAAGTACCTGCAAATGCATCAAGCGAAAAATGCGAAAGCAAACAAACACACGAACACACCATTCACACGCAAATGCATTCGCACACGCATACTCGTACAAACAGACGGCAGGATGTCGTGCAATGTGCATTTGCACCCAACACGGTCGTCCGTCGCTTTGTAGGTATGCATGATGTACGGCCACGCTTGGTAGCCAGCATCCACTCGAAATATGCACGACTTCAATACGACTTGCACGAGAGACGAGCAACACCTTGAAATGACCATAAAGGTCAGAAGGTTAGCAGTATGAAATTCTGACCAGAGCTCGACATCCTCCTCGTTCGGTGCCAAAACATTTCCGTCGACGAACTTCTTCAATCCGGCGATCTCCAGCTGAGGCTCGATGGATTCGATCCATGTGATCAAGTCGTGTCGACCTTCGAGCAGCTTCGGCACAGTGATCTTGTCCGGCGAAAAAATTAAAATAGCCGTACGATGACATGATGCCTCCGTCTCGACCAGCCGACGCATGAGTCGCCGAAGACGGCCTGACTCTTCTCCGCTGAGGAGATCGACGTTGACTATCGATGTTGCCCTGAGAGCTGCCTCCAGTCGCAGACGATCGCAGCACTTGCACTTGCACTCCGCCAACACAGACGTCAGCAGCCCGAATCACAGCGCGAACCCTCGTGCTTCCACTGCCGACAATATTGCCGCCGTCACCTTCGTTGTGCACGGGTTGGGGAGAGGTGGATACGCCGTCTGCTTCAGCACGGGGAGGGGGATGCTCACGTGCCCACTGCGCACGCGTTCCAAGGAGCAGTATCTGCAAGTCCGCCTCGCCGTACGCGCCAGCCTCATCGCGTGCCCGAACACCATCCAACCGCGCCTGCAGAGTATCTTCTACTCCTGCATCGACACCTTGGTCGTCCATGGCGGTCTAAACGGTTGCCTACCCACAACAACTTATGTATTGCTTGCGCAAAAGTCGGCTCCTATTTGAAGGTCTAAATGCGGGGTCATTCCACACTCACAGCACCATGCGCACTTACTCTTGGTATCAACTATATGGGTAGGTTATGCACTTACTCTTGGTACCAAGTATCTGGGTAAGTAACGCACTTAGTCTTGATACCAAGAACATGGGTAAGTAACGCACTTACTCTAAGTACCTACGATTTGAGTAGGTACCAACCATATGGATAAGTAACACACTTACTCTTTATACGAACCATATGGGTAAGTACCGCACTTACTCTTGATACCAACCATATGGGTAAGTAAGTGAAATATGTTACTCTTAGTACCAAACATATGGATAAGTAATACACTTACCCTTGGTACCAACCATATGGGTAAGTAACCCACTTACTCTGCATACCAGCCTTATAAGTAGATAAAGCTTTTACTCTTGATAACGAGGATATGGGTAAGTAGCGCACTTACTCTTGGTACCAACCATATGGGTAAGGAGCTAGCGCACTTACTCTTGAGTACCAACCATATGAGTATGTATCGCGCTTACTCTTGAAACTGGCCATATGGTAAGTAATGCACTTACTATGAATACCAACCATATGAGTACGTACCGCACATACTCTTAGTATCGACCATATTGATACCAACCATACGGGTCTCTAACGCACTTACTCTTACAGGTAAGTAAAGCATATACTCTATGTACAAACCATATGAATAAGTAACGCACTTACTCTTAGTACCAACCACTTGGATAGGTAACACACTTACTAAAGATATCAAAGATACGAGTAAGTTGTCAACAGGAGTTGGGTGTTCGCCCCGTCCTCGCTTGGGCGGAGCCGACTTCGTGGTCGAGTGTACGGGGAGTGCAGTTGACCTGCAGCAGTAGGCGATGCCAAGTTGGGCGAGCTGGTCGACGGGTTTGGTTGACTCACACGGGGCCAATGCAAAGCCGCCGACTTTGGGATGCCGGCTGCCTTCTACGGTTGGACGACATCGGGGCTGAGCGAGCTGGGAAGGGCGCCGAATTGAAGGGCGCCGACTTTGGGAGGTCCACCTGAGGAGGGCGTCAACTTGGTAACGCCGACCTGGATAGCCGACTTGGTGCAGTCGGCGAACAGTTGGTCTGGTCGACCACAAGTGGTCGACCTAGCGGAGTGGCTGACTTCGTGAAGTCGGCAGAAAATGGTCGTCGACCTGGGTGGTCGACGGCACAACGAGCAGCACCTAGTCGTCGTGGTTGCCCGGTCGACCAAGTTACCCGGGCGACGGGGATCTGTAGAGGTGTGCGACAGTCAGCCAGGTGATTCTGGCAAAGCTGACCTCGGAGATAGTATCCCAAGATCGATGTGCTAGATCAGGTGCAGCCGTGGGCACGTGGTCGGCTTGGCGTCTGCGTTGTGCACGTGACGGGGCACAGCACGCCAACCAACTGCGAGCACCTGCGAAGCGGTACACTGCTCTCATATGGGTGCAAAGCTGTGCGTGCAGCATTGGCACGCCGTCGAGTTGCATTATTGGCAGGCCGCCACTTTGCAATGGTGGAGCGCGGTCGACCTTGCAATGCGGTTCGGTTGTATTGATTGTGCAGATTCAGTTCTATCCAACTCGAAATTGTATTGTTTTGTCTAGATGACTATAGAGTAGCATGGCAAGCACTATATGGGTACAATTTAGGTGAAGGTTGGATGTTGTTTGTCTGTATCTACATGCTACAAGGCCAGGGGAAACCAGCAGAACCAGCATTTGGCTGGTTGGGCAAAGACAAAACAGGTTCTGTTTTTAAAACCTGGACGTGATTGTCGCTTTCCCAGGTTGGAAAAATAGAACCAGAGGTTGTTTACCAACCTACCACCTGCTATTTTGTCCAGCCAAGTTGGTTCTGTTGCTTGGAATTATTTGGAATCATCCCTGGTTGTTCCCAGGTTGATTCACAAGGCCATTGCTAGCTAGAATTATTGATTCCTTCTCTGTTTTCCCCTGAGTATAGTCAATTGATTCAAGCGACTTCCTTCTTTGCTGGAATTTCGTTTCTACATGGTTTGACGGCGAGTCAACGCTAGTACGCTAGCACCCTAATGCTAGGCAAACACTGTCGAGCCATAACTATATAATGGCATAACTTATTATTAAGTTCTTGGAGCTAGCTTCGATATAGCAAATTTTTAGCTCAATCCGATCGACGGTCTGCATGGCACGCTGCGCGACGTTCAAGGTACTCTTGCTAATTTGGCAAGTCATTCTTGCTCCCTCTTTCTACAATCTCGGACCCGAGGATAGGGGCTAGTCTTGTACCAGTCACCTAAGGACCCTTGGAGGTGACCCCGAGGAGAGGTTTTAAGTTTGATTGAGTCTTAATAGCTTGAGTTTATTAGGCCCTTACACCAACAAGCACCTCACTTACTCTAGGTACCAGCCATATGAGTGAGTAACGAACTTACTCTTGATACCAACCATATGGGTAAGTAACGCACCTAATATTTGTACTAACCATATAGATAAATAACGCACTTAATCTAGGTACCAACCACATAGGTAAGTAACGCACTTACTCTTGGAAACAACCATGTGGGTAAATGACGCACTTACTCTAAGTGCCAACCATATCGGTAAGTAGCACACTTACTCTTACTACCAACCATATGGGTAGGTAACGCACTTGCTCTTGGTACCAACCATATGGGTAAGTAATGCAGCTGCTCTTGGTACCAACCATATGGGTAAATAGTCACTTACTCTAACTACCATCCATATGGTAAAGTATCGCAATTGCTCTTGGTACCAACCATATGGGTATGTAACGCACTTACTCTT